GACAGGTTTTTCGACCTTGAGCAAGAGAACATAGCCATGTTACTGTTCGATAACGCATAGGCTATTTAAATTGCATTTAGTTATTAGATGGTCAGTATTTGTACGGGCTTCAACACCACTGAATGGTAAAGCTCCTTTAAAAGATCAGCTATATATCAAACTCCGTCTATCCACCAGTACGAAAAATGATAAACAACCACAAGATTAGAGATCAGGCAAGAAAACGGTCAGTAGTAAAACATGTCTGCTAAGTGGCAGAACAATTAAAGGAAACTATCAACCATATGCTACTTCATCAAGAAAAGCTACAGAATCACTTACAGAGAATTCCTCATGGTTCACTGCATATCAAAGCTAGTATTGACAATGCCCAGAAGAACAATGAAAGCCTCACAATTAAATCAGTTAGCTCAAAAAACACGAGTGAATTAAGATGTTTGTGTTGCACCAGCATCTGTTGATACCCCAAGAGTCCTAAAGTCGCGTCTCAGTGTCTTGACATGATATTAGATATGCCTCAGAATTGAAACCAGCAGCGACTACTTTATATTTTCCTTTTCTTCTCTATTTATTTTGATGCCTATTTTTATTTTTGGCTTTGTGGTGTTGTTATACGACGTGGTGTTGCTCACGTTGTGTTAAGTTAGCGATTGAAATAAAATTAAAATGTGTGCAAACCAGAACGGACCAAATAACTGTTGTATAATTGTTGTATTTCTTGGTTTCAAGGGTTGCCTTCCATTCGTTGAGCAGAATTTTGTTCTGGAATTGTCTATTGTCTATCTAATAACACTTGAAAGAGTGAGCGCACATATATAACTCTATTATTCTGAAGCGACAAAAAAGCTACAGAGGGTTGTCTTACTTTATCTTTCCTGCTTACTCCTATCATCGATAACTTTGAGACAGCTGTGATAAACTTGCGTGATAGTGGCGGCAGAGATCTGCTACTGGGACAGGTTTTTCGACCTTGAGCAAGAGAACATAGCCATGTTACTGTTCGATAACGCATAGGCTATTTAAATTGCATTTAGTTATTAGATGGTCAGTATTTGTACGGGCTTCAACACCACTGAATGGTAAAGCTCCTTTAAAAGATCAGCTATATATCAAACTCCGTCTATCCACCAGTACGAAAAATGATAAACAACCACAAGATTAGAGATCAGGCAAGAAAACGGTCAGTAGTAAAACATGTCTGCTAAGTGGCAGAACAATTAAAGGAAACTATCAACCATATGCTACTTCATCAAGAAAAGCTACAGAATCACTTACAGAGAATTCCTCATGGTTCACTGCATATCAAAGCTAGTATTGACAATGCCCAGAAGAACAATGAAAGCCTCACAATTAAATCAGTTAGCTCAAAAAACACGAGTGAATTAAGATGTTTGTGTTGCACCAGCATCTGTTGATACCCCAAGAGTCCTAAAGTCGCGTCTCAGTGTCTTGACATGATATTAGATATGCCTCAGAATTGAAACCAGCAGCGACTACTTTATATTTTCCTTTTCTTCTCTATTTATTTTGATGCCTATTTTTATTTTTGGCTTTGTGGTGTTGTTATACGACGTGGTGTTGCTCACGTTGTGTTAAGTTAGCGATTGAAATAAAATTAAAATGTGTGCAAACCAGAACGGACCAAATAACTGTTGTATAATTGTTGTATTTCTTGGTTTCAAGGGTTGCCTTCCATTCGTTGAGCAGAATTTTGTTCTGGAATTGTCTATTGTCTATCTAATAACACTTGAAAGAGTGAGCGCACATATATAACTCTATTATTCTGAAGCGACAAAAAAGCTACAGAGGGTTGTCTTACTTTATCTTTCCTGCTTACTCCTATCATCGATAACTTTGAGACAGCTGTGATAAACTTGCGTGATAGTGGCGGCAGAGATCTGCTACTGGGACAGGTTTTTCGACCTTGAGCAAGAGAACATAGCCATGTTACTGTTCGATAACGCATAGGCTATTTAAATTGCATTTAGTTATTAGATGGTCAGTATTTGTACGGGCTTCAACACCACTGAATGGTAAAGCTCCTTTAAAAGATCAGCTATATATCAAACTCCGTCTATCCACCAGTACGAAAAATGATAAACAACCACAAGATTAGAGATCAGGCAAGAAAACGGTCAGTAGTAAAACATGTCTGCTAAGTGGCAGAACAATTAAAGGAAACTATCAACCATATGCTACTTCATCAAGAAAAGCTACAGAATCACTTACAGAGAATTCCTCATGGTTCACTGCATATCAAAGCTAGTATTGACAATGCCCAGAAGAACAATGAAAGCCTCACAATTAAATCAGTTAGCTCAAAAAACACGAGTGAATTAAGATGTTTGTGTTGCACCAGCATCTGTTGATACCCCAAGAGTCCTAAAGTCGCGTCTCAGTGTCTTGACATGATATTAGATATGCCTCAGAATTGAAACCAGCAGCGACTACTTTATATTTTCCTTTTCTTCTCTATTTATTTTGATGCCTATTTTTATTTTTGGCTTTGTGGTGTTGTTATACGACGTGGTGTTGCTCACGTTGTGTTAAGTTAGCGATTGAAATAAAATTAAAATGTGTGCAAACCAGAACGGACCAAATAACTCACCTGAGTTTTTTGTTCAGTTGGTGAGAAAACTTGCTTTTTTCAAAGACAGTTAAAGTGGCACAAGGTAGCATTGACTATTAAACTCAGATGTCTATAGACTTAATCAAAAACAAGCTGAAAACATTCCAGTATTTTATTTTCCACTATGGGTCACTTTTAATTATATAATGACAGGTAATTTTCCCTTCCTTGTCCATAAATTGAAAATGAGCTCAAATACTACTCAGATATGATAAGTACGTATTCACATTCCCTTGAAGCCATCAGTAAGTACAACTTACATAATCAAGGCCAATGAGTGTAATAGTAGCGTCCAATAAGATTACTGTATCTTTATAGTTCCAATATTAATTAACCAAAACACAGAATCCTTAAATTTATCATTGTGCAACAAAGAGCAACCCAGTAGCCTCATACAGATTCAATCACTAGACTGAGAAGCATTATTTTTGGATATTTTAATGCTCGTGAATGAGTATACACTAAATAAAGTCTGGTCAACTGCGAACTAAACATCGATCTCACCTATCTGTTCGACCATTCAGATAACGGTCACAACATATCAAGAAAGATAATAATACCAATGAATCCTGTTACTTTTCGATACGATTATGTTGGGCCTGTTAAGATATAGTTCTTTATAAATTCGTCACTAATTGTAACTGATATTTTCCTATTTCACCGAAAGAAATTTACGTCATAATCGCCAAATAATGAAATGACATGAGATCAAAGTCATCTTCAATCACTAACACGTATACCACCCACCCCTTGATTCCATCATTATTTTGACTGTAAAAACTCGAAGTACGTAGCGAGTGTAGTCGAATGTACACGGAATTTAAGTGGTTCAAAAGATTTTCACATCAAAGGCCAAAAATTGCCTCCGTTTAATTTTCTGGTTAACCGGGAAGAGAAATATGGTTTGCCAACTGAACCAGAGTGAAGCTGTGGCTCAGTGTTTAGGGAGATGACTAAAAACCACTGGGTCACGGGTTCGATCTCCACTACACTAACCGAAGATTGGACAGCCAGGTAGTATCATTAGCCCTCACACCAAAGGTGTAGCTCATTACCTACTGCACGAATGTGCACAAGGTAGCTGATTACGTTACCTAACTGGACCAGAGGTATCAATATAATTATAACAAGTTTGAAATATATATCTAAACATAGGTAGTTTGATCACATGAAGATATTTTTACACAAGACACCCGGAACGTATTTGCACAAAAACCAATCAAAACTCCGGTAATTCGCTAAAAGCTAAGGCAACAAATAAGGAAGTCATGCATTTCCTACTTAAAGTGACCATGAAAATGGATTCAAACCAAGCATCGAATCATGAATCTCATCACTGATATTGCATACTCACTCTTTTATTTCAACTGTCACTTAACCAACTTCATTTTGCTATGTTGTACCTTATATCTTCAGTCTACAATAAAAAAATTGTAAACTAGCAAATTTGAGATTCTTTATGGACTGACATCACTTGCACAGCTGTTGAAAACCAAAGAGTATTGAATAGAGGTTTCGTTATTGGTCTATGATGCATCATCCGTCTGAGCATTCAAACTCAAAAGCCACTACACTCAAGACATTCTGCCCTTGAGGTGGTCATGTCACTCTGTACTTTATAGTTGAAAGACACATAACTCACATTTTCTAACTTCAGTCAAATAGTAACATGGAAAGATCACCACCAGCTGATGCGATCGATGAACACCATTCTTACTTAAAGCTCCGTTCACACTGTGATAAAAGAACTATCCACAGACCAATCGATTTCTCAAAAAATCAGTACCTGAGTAACAAAAAGATAGAGCTTAGAAAACATCAGGCCCATAAATGATAACAGTATGCACGCTAATCTTTTCTTTTCAAAACTTTGTATATGGATTGTCAAAAGTCATGTAAATGATTGCTCTGAAATAGACACACAGCTTTCGAATGTAAGGGAGCTACATAGTAATAATAGGTTTTTAAATTTCAGAGATAAGCTCAATGGTAAGGAATTTGAATATGAATCTATGTTCATTTTATTTAAGTGCTCACGAAGTGGCAGCAAAATTACATTTACGTACTAGTTCACTCACGATGTAAATTACATCCATTAGACGACAGCATTTACCACAATAACCATATCTTCAATTCTAAGTACGTTATGAATCAAACAACTTATTTAATACCGTGTGAAACGTAAACAGACATTGAACAGTAGTTAGCTGGACACTTATGCACTGAAGCGTTACGTATACCATAATAGGAAGTGAAAGAAAATAAATGATATCAAGAGTATAAGCAATTCGACAGCGGATACTTATAAAGAAATTTGCAGACACTCAAGAACTACCTATCAACATCTGTCGCTAAATATAGTGCAGCTTACCAAACAGTCCCATATGCTCCATAACCGATCATCGAAAGTTCTTTGTACCTAGATGGAACACACCATTCCACTTGATTGAGTTGTAATGAAATAAATCCCGGTTTAAAGTTCTTGGTGGAAGACATGGATCTGAAATATAAATTTGAGTGTAATGGCTTGAGAAATCATATTACTATTTCTTTTTAATGCAGGGAAAAAATTATACAAGACAGTATGCACATTACTGTAAATTACTGTGAAAATCGACTGATATTTGTTATACATGATGGAAAAAACTTTAAAATCAATTTCAGTTGCCTGCGAAACAGTCAGTCAGTTAGCATCGACGTGGAATCTCGAATTACTCCGCAACAACCCAAGTTGCCCCACCCCATATTACAGCATCAAAGTAAGAGGCGCCAAGATGAAAAAAGAGAAATAAGAAAGTAGTCAAACTAACAGAGAGTCGTAAGAGAAGGACAGAAGGAATGAGACAATAATGGAGTTCTGTATGACAATTGTCACGAAAGAAACATGTGGATACATCCGCGCCACATCACCGAGAGTCTCCAACCACCGACTTCAGTCGTTATACTGATCTTAACAGTCAAGTCTACATTCCCTTACACCATTCAGACCAACACTCGAAGACTTCATGGAATGATATCATGTTTTAGTTTGGCTCCCGCTAATGTTTGTCCTATCTACACACTTGAGCTTACATTGCCTCCAGAACAAGCAACTAAGAATCACCGGTTAACCTAGGGAAAAGCAACTGCGTAAGAATAACTGTTTTCAGACTCATCACCATCAAAATAAGTTGCGATCAATATTCATATCTTAGGGAGAGGAGTTTCACTAAAACGAACAGTGTTCAAATATCCTGCAATGTGAGTATGAATATACTAAATAAAAACTACCGATCAACTCGTTTGATGACGATAAAATTCAAAAATAGTTACTGCGAAATGAGTTTTGCGTATTTTGAGATCAACTACAACAACAGATAAAGCTCGCCGGTCTACATGCTGAAACTTCAACAACGGGTTCACATGATAAAATTCCACTGTGTCAATCCCAGTCCCCATAGCTTTGTATTGCATCACCCTCCAAAAGATGCAGCTGCGATGGAATGCGAGAAACAAGGTGTCCAAAATATAGTTTGATAGTGTCATTAAGAAATCTTCAAAATAATTTTTTTTTCTTTGTATACTGCTGTGAAGTGTGGCAACTTGTGCATGTGTGCGAGGTTCTACATTGATTTTGTTAATCTGTTTATCTGTCTGCTTGAAAGCGATCACATACGACCTTTCAGAAGTTTGAAACTTTCGTTTGCTTTTCGGAAATTCGATTATTAACCCATATCTCTGGTATTAGTATACCTCAAGGAAGGACGGCAGCACGCTACTTTTAGAGCCGACCTCTTCTAAATCCCCTTCCCACAGGGAAAGCGGCATCACCATGGGGCTGTTGATCATCTGTGAAAAACACCTTATTGCCCTCACACCCTCATCACGTCAGAAGTACGACTTCACCCCCAAGACTCTCAACCACAACTGCCTCTTGAAATTAACACCATACAAACTCACCTTTCTGGTACAGTAGGACCTCAAGGGAGCAAGCCTTCCATTAACATAGCTCTTTCTGTCATCTCGATAACTACACCCAAACACTACGTCAATGTAACAGCTACTGATTGGACCAAACACCTGTAATTTCTTTGATATCTGCTTTCAACGGCTGTCTCGGCCTTTTAATAGAACAGTGAACTGCAGCGCATTACTCTCGCGTTCTTTAACAGGTAGTCAGATATCTTGCCAGAGCCAAAAATGACGCGATTTGACAAACGCCAAACGAACTTTCTGTATCCGAGCCGTGGTTTCATTAGCGATTAGCCCGTTCAACACGATCCAACTCCTCAAAACAGTGATATCAACGCATTCTACCACTTCCCTGCCTCGAACAATGCACCACAATGCTTGGAAGCATAGCGGCAAGTCACTCCTGAGAGGGAAATGCCACAAAGGGTAGAAGCAGAACCTTACGGTTATTGGTTAGAAAGTATTATCTGTTGAGTGGTTTCCATTTCACGATTAATAGACTGTCTTCTGATAAGTATGTCACAATTACGGTGTCTCGAGTGACCGAAAAATAAACGCAGAACCTTGCACAAAAGTGAAACGGTCCGAATGGTTGTCCTTCACAATAGTACGGAAAAAGTAGACAAAAATGAATGACAGTAAAACAAACAAAAGGGAGAATAAAAAGTGATAGTATCCAAATATGTTAAAAACTCAGAAAATAGGGAGTTATTACACTTGCAGTGAAAATGATGATAAATATTTGTAGCTCAGTTAGTTAACCGGTAGTGCCACCTTGTGAAATATGTTCACCTGAGGTTTAAAGATAGTCGTCACTTAAACAAATCAATAAGGATCATAGTTGTCATATGTACTGAAGCTTCTCGGTTTAGTGTTTGCTTGACCAGAAAGTAAAATAGCATTCTGGCATATAAAACGAACAACATACAAATGGGAAATAATGGTTTAACAGCAACCAAAGCGGTGAGAAATACGGCTAATGATGAGATTCACGATACAAAATGCTTAGTATTTACAATAACAGTAAGTATACTACGAAACTTTAATCAACTGCGAGGCATGTTGCATAAAGTATCATAAAAATTTGACACATCGTGAACACCAAGCGAAAAACTGATAAAAATTACAAGAATAAAGTTAACAATTAGTGGCGTTATCAACAAATGCCATTTACTGACCTAATGAACCCGAAAAGTTTTTATCTGACAGCTGCGACCCAAACATAGTGGTCGAGCCTACATACTGCAATAATCCAAAAAGTTACGTCGGTTTAAACGACGAATCTCAAAAGTTTTATCATACCAGAAATGTTAGATAGCAAAGACTGAAGGCAGCTAGTGTTATAGTGTAATTAATTTGATTTAATGGAAGTATAATGGCGAAGTTGTAATACTGCTTGGACAGGGACGTCAAGGCAGCAAGATATTTTGCTCCGATGACCAGCATTCTAGCTGTTTTGTGCTTTCACTCTGGAACAGGCCAGAAAAAGATGCCATAAAAAAACTGCATTTTACCTTGCTCTACTTTTTATCTCTGGTGGTAAGGTTATCTAATCCCGGATGCAACTCCATGAAAACTAAGCACTTCAAAAGTTCATGTGACCAGTCTTCATCAGACACCCAGTGAGAAGTTTAGTCAACCAAAACTAACAACCTTTTTCTTCCAGATACCCTAGAAAATAAACTTTATCCCCACCAAATAAAAAAGTGCTCAGAAACGACGTGCATATCCATGCAGTAGTCAATGAGCCACATGTATTGTGTGAGGGTTAATGATGCTACCTGGTTATTCAAACCTCAGTAGATGAATCTGGGTTCGGACCACTAATTGAAAGCTGAGTGCCCAGATCGACGAGTCATCACTTCCCATACTTCCTCCTGATTATCACCAAACTTCTACTTATTTATCTGACCGCGTTTGGTGGGTTTTCTAGGTTTACACAATCCATAATTAGAGTATCTGGGGGCCCATAAACCAATTCCGTGAAAGCTTAGTTAGCGTGTTAAATCTCCGTAGAAAAAGCAACTCTCTTGTAAGAATCTCAGTTAACAGTCATTTGTGAACTGTTTGGTTGAATTACAGTAGAAAAAAATAACGACTGTGATCCACACTGATGTCGTTTTGCAGTTTCTGTTTATGCATCTAATGAATGCATTTTGGATGAAGAGAAAGATAAGTTTTCTTAAAAGCTCTCTAACCTTTCATTAAAAACCAAACATTCAGATACGGTTTTCGTAGTGAACAACTTCAATGCACAAGAAGGAAAATGGAACAATGAATCATTAGTCTAGGCACTCCGCTTTTCATTGTCTGGGCGACGGTTTTGGATGTCTTTCTAACCATCGAGGTCTGGCCAGTCATATCTCATTAGCCTCCCTAAGATTAATGTAGTTCATTAACTACTGCGTAAACGATCACACGGTTTCTGAGTGCTTATTTTGACAGGTAGGAAGGCTAAGTCATATGCAAAAGCCCATTTGAACACTGGCCTGGCTAACTGATAATGTGAAGCTGTGGCATAGTGGTTTAAGTAGATGACAACTACTGGATTACGGGTCCGAGCCCCGCTCCATCTGCCACGGTTGGGCAGTCTGGTAGTATTACTAGCCCTCACACAATACGTGTGGCTCACTACCGACTGCATATATGTGCACAAGGTGGTTGAGTGCATTTGCTTCCCTTTCCCCTCCCTATCCTGAAGTGATAATGAAAATCGGTTGCTGACCGACGCACAGATACCATCTCATTCAGAGCCAGCCCTGATTCAGGTTTAAAGATATATTGTCGAACTAAGCGACTACCTGACACTAGTTGGCGGCGCAATGGATAAAATATATCAATATCCACTATCGATCGAACAGACAAGTAGCTATTCGACAACTCCATTGAAGCATATACTTTTACTCTTACTGCATCTTGGCTCGAACACATATATGCACTTTGAAACACTTGTTCCTATTTTCCAGAATAACCACAATTTTTCTTGACTTTGCTTTTATTCATAATTCACAGGAAAACTATGGGAGAGATGCATGGTAGCACAATGGATTTGAACTCCAACCCACGTAAGTGGCATCCTTATAGTAACGATTTGTAGTGAAGTTTGGTAGCTCAGTGAACCAGATTGTACAAATTTACGCAATAGTTGGTTATGCTGTCTGGCTGTCCAAACTGAACTGCACGATCGAACCTCAACCCAAGATTCAGTTGGTAAGTCAACTACCAGGACTACCAAACAGCTACATATGGCCCTTGCGTGTCAAAAAGCATGAAGATACACGACCAACAAGCATTTAATGTGGTCTCTACTTCATAAGGGGTTGAAAAGATTGCATATCTCAGTGACCGTGAGTACCTATGAATATAATGCAGCTAGAATTTACCGTACTGTAAACTTCAGACTCTCCAGTCTACGAAACGTATTTTTCACCTTAAAAACAACGACTAAAGTTCCATCATTAGACCTCGGCTATCTTGTTAGTTGACCTTGCAAGTGGTTGAATTCTATACGATAACACTAATTAGTAAACTGCTGCTTTGGACAAGCACGTTTTCATCTCACCAGACAAAATACAGTGGCCAGACCAACGAGCGTCGACGCATATACAGGGCAAAACATCAGGATCAGTAAACAAACTCAATGAAATAAAATGAACGCAAAAAGCAAAGAAAAAACCTGCATATGTAAAGTAGCTTGGATAATAATTTGCTACGACACAGTATAACTAACTAAGTAGAAAAGAAACTCAAAGAATCTACCATTTGTCGTACACACGAGCTCAAAATATATTTAAAATAGCAGCGACAGGTTGAAAAAAGAAAGGAAAAAAATGACAGCTAATAAATACAGGATAAATTGAAAACTTTCTAAATAGCACAAGGGCATGCCAGATTATAGGGAACTAATATGTTAATTACCTAAAGAAGAAAGCAGGTAACCAGCGCCAGAAAGCTGGTACACAAGTTAGTGGCTCTAAAAGACACGCCAAGGACTAAAATGTTCCGTAGACGAGATGTTTATCTCATGCAATAAAATGATTGCCGTTTGATATATTTCCAATTATTTTGATGAAATTTTCAGTGATACACCAAGTTCAGCCTCACAGGTGGACTTCCTTATTAGCCATGCGTGACTGTGAAACTGCGATACACAGGCGACAGCCGTGTGGGTAAGTATGTCTGACGGCAATGTATGAATAAACTTTTCCTTCTTTTGACACTAAGTGTCTGAAATGATCTTTACGCCAACTGCTCATTGTACCCAATTTGGAAATTTCCCTTTTTAAACAGTTAAGGAAATGTCACGGTGCGAACTTGACTGACGCAGAGGTCATTCACTAATTATTCGAACTTGTTATATATCCACGAATACTGGACCAAGGAAGGACACAACAGCGTAGTCGGATGGAGTAGTATATCTGTGAGGTCGGACCGAGATACCGATGCCTTCCAACTAACTGGCTAGAGAGTCTATCACGAGCAGTGCGATGTAACACGACAGCGTGCCAAATGGTGAGGATGCTTTACAGGGTACCTTCAGCTTAGCGAGTCCAGTTGAGGTATCAAGGACAACACCAATGCTGAATCTCGTCAAACCCTAGGCTATTGATTTTCGGGGTGTGTGAGGCTAGGTTCGTGAGGACCCTAATACGAGACCAGCCGGAAGTAAAAGCCCAGTGGTTTCTCCTCTGGTAGAATTCTTCCGATGAGCTCACCGTGAAAAGTGGCCCCTGGTTGCTTGAACGTATTCTGGGGCGTCAAAGAAAATGAAAAATAAAATGCAATAAATGGAATTGTACGTCAATGGAGGTCTTCAGTGTCCTTTGACGTTCCGTTCAGTGCTCGTAGCACCTGGAATACAAATGAAAGTCTTTAATACCACAAAAAAGTTTCGTAAAAACGGAAAACACTCATATATAAATGAATCGAAAATATATTTCATGCTTATTTCCATTTCCTGAGGAAGTTTCATCTCATGTTTGTGAAAAATTTCTATGAAGGGTAAAGTTTGGGAGGATTTTCACGTTGTCGGTAAATAAGGAAAATGGTGCCTCGAAAAAAGTTTTCGAATTAAAAAAGTGGTCGGCAAATTTTATTTCACCCCATTTAGCTGAATACGACTTCAAGTACTCCGGGAACCTAACGGTTCCACCAAGGTAGGACACAACAGCGTAGTCGGATGGAGTAGTATATCTGTGAGGTCGGACCGAGATACCGATGCCTTCCAACTAACTGGCTAGAGAGTCTATCACGAGCAGTGCGATGTAACACGACAGCGTGCCAAATGGTGAGGATGCTTTACAGGGTACCTTCAGCTTAGCGAGTCCAGTTGAGGTATCAAGGACAACACCAATGCTGAATCTCGTCAAACCCTAGGCTATTGATTTTCGGAGTGTTTGACGGTTTAGCTCTCTTATACCTATGCATGTACTCTATGGTGTGGTGACTCACTACATATCAAATTCTATATGCCATTTTCGTCTGTGAATCTAGCCACGTGATCATCACACCTTAGGCTCTTCGGAGTGTAGTTTATAGCAGCACTTTGTGAAGCCTCTTGTCCAGCGAATTTCAATCTCCCACTGGGTTAGAATGTGAATAGGTTTGCTGCAAAAGTTGCAGAACTGGGAATCTGCTGCATCACTCCTAGACTACAGATGCTAGCGCAGTAGAAACCTGGGGAAGCTGCCTTGTCCGGTCGACCACCGTTGTCCCCGGTACCAACTTTAAAACCAATCAGTGGGAACATCATGGTTAAAGCGTGGGACAGAGAGGCTTATCCAGAGCAAGAAGCAGGCTTGGTTCAAGTGGCGTTCATCACGCAGGGAGTCTGACTTCTTGAATTACAAAAGGATTAGCAACCGCTGTAACATTAGAGTGCGTAGCGACAGATTTTCCTATCAAACAAACTTGGCGGTGAGGTTACAAAGCAATCCCAAAACCTTGTACCGCTTCATGTCGAGAAAAAAGTCGACCAGTAAGGGAGTGAATCTTGTCACAGGCCATGACGGGAGTGTACTAGGCAGTCTAGAGATTGCCGAGCTTTTGAGCTCACACTTCCAAGCCCAACTTAGCACTGACACAAGATCCACACCGACTCGCTTCGACACCGACCAGGTCGTAAATAACGAATACCTCTGTCACGTCTCTATTACAGAGAAAAAGGTGTTCGAGAAGCTATCTAGGCTACGTCCGGGCAAGTCCCCTGGCTGCGATAACCTAAAACCAGTGGTTCTGAAAAACTGCGCCGAGGTGCTTACTAAACCACTTCGCAACCTCTTTGAGCACTCAATAGACTCGTGCAAACTCCCTAAAGAATGGAAGAGCGCCATCTTGTCACCCATCTTCAAGGGAGGAGACAGAAAAAGCCCTGGCAGCTACAGGCCAATTGCTCTACTCTCCATTGTGTCGAAAGTGTTGGAAAGCCTGGTAGCTGACACCATCTGGGAATTCCTCTATGGGGAAAACACTGTCCATACTGCTCAGCATGGCTTTCAGAGTGGTCGCTCATGTGCCACCAACTTACTAACCGCCTGGGACGACTGGACACAAAGCTGGGATGACAGTAAACCGGTACATGCTGTATTTCTCGACCTAGCCAAAGCATTTGACAGTGTCCCACCCACAGTACTGCTTCATAAGTTAACCCCTACTCTCTTGGTTCAAGGAGTACCTGGAAGGGAAGCAGTTCTGCACTAAAGTAAACAGAATAAGGTCGGAGTGGAGACCTCGACGTCAGGAGTATCCCAAGGAGCAATCCTAGGACCGCTTCTGTTCCTCCTGTTTGTCAACGATCTGCCAGATAAAATATCCTCACCCATCCTCCTCTTCGCTGACGACATAAAAATTTGGAGGGTGGTAAACGAAGAAGCTGATTGTACAGCACTACAAAAGGACTTGCAGCAACTCGAGCTCTGGTCGTCGGAAAATGGCCTGAGCTTCAACCTGGAAAAGTGCAAAGTAATGCACATCAGTAAAAATGAGGCAAGTACGACCGACTTCCAGTACATGTTGAGCAACCGTGCTATCACCAGAGTGTCCATGGAGAAAGATTTGGGGCTCAACTTCTCCGACACCTTGGACACCAGCTCCAACTACAAAGGTATGACAACCAGAGCGAACGCCATTCTACACTTTCTGCGTAGACAGCTTGGCGCCCTCACTCCCGAACTCTTCCTCACCATTTTCAAATCCTACGTGCGGCCGCACCTAGAGGTCTTCAATACGGTGGCTCCTCCAACACTCAAGAGAGACTCTAATCTCCTTGAAAGAATACAAAGAACTGCAACAAAATCAGTTGTGGGGCTAAGGGGAAAGACGTATCCTGAAAGACTTAAACACCTCAACCTATTTACCTTGGGTTATCGCAGGAAAAGAGGTGACCTCATTATGGCATACAAGATCGCCCATCAGGCAGACCATGCAAACAAATCAATTTTGCCTGCAACTCAACGATCTTCACGAGGAAACCCCATTAAGATAGCACACCAGAGAGCCAACACCACACTCAGGTCCAAATTTTTCTCCCTGAGAGTATGTGCTTTATGGAATGCCTTACCGCGACACATCGTTATAGCTCCTTCAGTCGACTCTTTCAAGAGGCGATTAGACAGTTATGTCACCTCGCATGGACTACCACGGACGTACTCAGGTAGTCACCAACCTCAGTACCCCCAACTCCCTCCTAACTACCACTCACTATCTCTCTCCTTAATACACCCACATTACCTACTAATTCTTCTGTAGGAACCAAACCCACGCTACCATTCGCGCGATTCCCAAATACTTTTCTTTCTATCTTATTTCTTCTCCTTCCCTCTTCTCTTCTCTATATTATTGTTTTTTCCCTCTATTATTTTTATACTCTCTTCACTCCTTTGCCACTACCTTACTATTCTCTCTCAGGTACCTGCACAGACAGGAGTCACGGCAGTTCTATAAACGTCCCAGTAACACGTAGCTCCCTAATCACTCTATAAATTACAACTTACTAACCCACAAAATATCCACCTCACCGAAGCTAAAAGCAAGAAAGCAGAGGGTATTTCCTCATCCACTATAAAAGTGAACCAAACAACTCGAACCAAGCCCTAAGAACTAGATGCGGGAGATCAAAAACCATCAGTTTTCTACGATGACACTATCAATATTGGATATTGGATATTGTACACAAACGAAAACTAGCAAAGAATGATGTGGCGGGTTAAATTAGTTCGACGCTACTCTAGGGTTATGGTAACTCACTTTCGTCTTGACTTGCACAAGTCAGCTTCTCCAATGACATTGTGAATTATTTTATCTCTGGTGTTCAAGTTTTGTATTGCTGAATTTTTACTTGTATTAATTATTCCCGTCTAATGGACGCTTACGTCTCAACCGGAATCACACTTCAAGCACACTGGGATGTGCAACACTGCTTATTGAATACTCCAAAATACCATCAAGGTCTTGAAAATTTCTGGTGAAACATGAGATAATTTTTCTAACAGGATACTTGCAATGTGTGTCTCGTACATTCGAATAGGTTCAAGGGGTTACCACTAATAGTTGTACATGGGATTCCAGAATTGCCAAGTGACAGCTCGGTCAAAGATCGGTACTTTCACGACGTCCAACAATGGCAATGGCTCTCAACCAAAGTTGGTCTCAACAGTATACCGGCCAACAGCGTCAGTAGACTGCCAAGGCCAGCGCACCTGAAGACCATACCCAATCCCAGACTACTTGCCGTCCAGTTCGACTCATATGCCTCCCTCACAGACGTTCTACAGGCATGGTATAATGCGAAAGATCGCATGGGTGGCTCAATACGTATATGTGAAAGTAAGCCTAGACCCACAAGGCAAGAGGAGAGACGGCAACCACCAAGACCTCTGGAGTCAGTGGTCGTCACACAGGCGCTGACCAGTGAGTTAGATACATCAAGTAAAGAAGCCACCACTGCTACAGCCCCCACCCAAGTTAAGAACAAAACACAAAAAAACGGAACAATGCCAGTCCTATGAGGACTGGCGAGGGTAGACCCAACCACATAAACTGTCATCCTGCTAAAATACACAACCAGACCTCCCCCCTCATCAGGTACACTCTAATATGTATGTACAGCAACGTTAGGGGGCTAATAGGGAAGGTAGCAAAAATGAGGACGCTGCGTGAACATCAGCACTCCGACATCATATTCATCACCGAATCCTGGCTCTCATCGGACATCTCCGACGAAGAGATGCGTGTTGCTGGCATGGAACTCTTCCGCAGGGACAGGGAACATAGAGCAGGAGGGGGAGTGGCTATCTACGCAAACTCCTGTTTCAAGGCAAGGATGGTTAGCGATACGGCCTTAACCCAGCTCCCAGAGTCTCTATGGTGCTACTTCACTCTCTTCTTTATTCTCTCTTCATTCCTTTACCACTACCTTACTATTCTCTTCCAGGTACCTACACAGACAGGAGTCATGGCAGTTCTCTAAACTTCCCAGCAACCCGTAGCTCCCTAATCACTCTACAAATTACAACCTACTAACCCACAAAACATCCACCTCACCGAAGCTAAAAGCAAGAAAGCAGAGGGTATTTCCTCGTCCACTGCAGGAGTAAACCGAACAACTGGAACCAAGCCCTAAGAACTAGACGCGAGAGATCAAAAACTACTAGTTTTCTACGCTCGCACTATCAATATTGGATATTGGATAATGCAGTGACAGGTCTCGACCTACTTCCCTCAAGGACTGGTTAAGAAACCTGATCCGAGATTCCTCGTCTTTTTGTAGGGAAAGAGGTGGAGTGGTTTTGTCGTATCCTTTGCAATGGCTTCAGTATTGATTTATCTCATCCCTTTACTTCCTTTTGTACTGGTCACCATAGAGACCATCAGAAAAAATCCAAAGGCAGAGATAAAACCACCCTTGAGTGGGGTGTTGGCCCTCACGTTTGCTTGGTCAACGGCTGGGACTCATTATCGGAACCACTGGTAGCAGCCTCAGTGAACACCTTCAAGGAAAACTGGGTCTTCATAGAAATGGCTAACGCAAGGATAAACCTTTGGCTAATTAATAGCCTACTATCATTTAAAGTGAAGACCGAAGATATCAAAGGCTGTGAACACAGTATCAAACATCACAGACTCTCTGTTTAGTGTCATAATTTGCGATGAGGGGTACAAACGACTCTCACTTCGAAAGAATATGCTCGCAATCTGAAATTGGTAGTTACTTCCAGAGACTGCAAGTTTTAGAATGGTAGTCAACCACTTCGAGTAGCCAGTGTTGCTAGTCACACTGTTCTTTAGTGTAGACTTGCTAGAATCACAGTTGAGTGGTTTCCGGGTTCGGAACCTGCTCCACTTTTGCCTTTGCAATGGAGTGGTATTATAAGTCCTCACACAGTATGGCTTGTATCTGAGTATACATACCTGTACTGAGTCCAGTTATAGTTAATTATATTGAAATTATTAGTGCTCTTTATATGGTGATAGTTTCAACTGTTCTACCGTACGGCGAATTTACTCACGACTGTGTATTTTAGTGAATTCATCTAGAATGATGAGAGAGATGTATAGTATAACCCAGCAACTGCATGCAGGGCTGTGTACTAGGTAGGTAATGAACCAGCCTTATTGTGTACTGGCTAGTACTGCCAGCTGACTGACTAAATCAACGTAGAATCTTGCACACAAGTGCACCGCCTCAAGTTGCCACACTTCACAGTAGTATACAAAAAACATGTATAGAATGGTAGTGGAATCAAAGTAGTGTAGAAGAATAAGCAATCTGAAGATAAAGGTCAGTGTGAATATTCAAGCTTAAGATGTGAAAGAGTGAATGCATCTGCACCCTTGTGACCGATTTTCAGTCATGTCACCAAGAGTCCTCAACCACTCATTCCCTTCTAGGGGGCCCCAGTCGGGTGATCCACATCTATCCACACAACTCAAGCCATATCAAGGACTTCATGCACTGCTACCACGTCTTGGTCTGACCACCACGCATCCAAGCCCTGTCAGTCGACTAATATTCAGAACACCAATCGACTTGTTTATCTTGCCTAGTACGTTTCACCTGACCTAGATGCCTTTCAAGACGCCTTTCCACCTGGCTCGGCTTCCCTACTTGAGTGTTAAAATCATCTGTCACTATAACTACATCTGACCGCTTTGCTTTCTGTAGCAAAGTTGACAGCTTCTCACACAACTCATCCTTTGCATCACCCGAATTGTAGTCAGCGGCGACGATTATGAATAGACATCGCCTAGTCTCACAACGCTTCCTAATTTTTACAGACCCATCCAATCGAATAGTACAAAAACGGCTGTTGACTGGTATCCAGTTGAGGAGTGCACTTTCTGCTCCACAACTCAATGCTATATCCACACAAACGAGTCCACGAGAGCCAGGCATTATATCTTAGGATACTCGTTAGGTGAAATTTGAAGATTCACTACAATGACCAGGTGAGGCCACTTTAATAACCACACTGGGATCTTGTACACTTGTCGAAGAGACACGGCATACATCCATGGTTGAAAGCTCTAGAATTCTGGCAAGCGATGCTTGCTGTCCGATTTAGCATAGAGATCGAGCGTTGGAATCTCCTACATGAAGTCGATAACGGAGTCTTAAGAGACTGGAAGTGAGGTTTCGATGGCTTTGCTCATTAGCAATGGTTGTAGAGTGAGGGGTTGAGTAAAGCACAATAGTCTTAATATTAGTATCAGGAGGTGAAGGGAAAGGAGGAGACAGAGTTGAGGAGGATAAGTTATATTTGATTGGGTCTTGTGTATTACTGGAATTGTGCAAGTGGTTGACACTTTCTGGTTGCGACACCGTGGAAGGCCGTTTTCTTTTTAAGTACCTGGAAGAGGAAACGATTTGTGTGACCGCAGAGCCCATGGGACATCTACTTAAGGCCGTCCACATACAGCCTTTTGGCAATTTTGAGATTTTGCGCTTTACCTTTGAATGCGACTGTGAATCCCTGCTGCAAACTTCGGGATACGGCGTCGGGGTGGTGTATTATTCTTGGGGCTGACCTTTTCTAGCCCTTCCTTTGCCACTAAAAGGGCAGCATCAGCGTGGCACTGCTGGTTATCTTATCCTACTGCTGTCACCCCCGTTCAGCTGACAGCAGTACGATTTCGCTCTCAAACCCCCATTATAGTGTAGTAATTTACACTACAACGATGACTGCTTTTCGTTTACCACTATCCAACAGACCTTTCTGGAGTGTCAGAACCTCAAATGAACAAGCGTTCCACCAGCATAGCTCTTTGAGTCATCTTGCTATCCAAGCCCGACCACCACGTCAAGGTAGCACCTATCGATCGGTAGTAGTGCCAACTGATTCGAATTCACAGTCCAGGGAAACATGCCTTAACTATGCTACTAAAACACAGTTGCGTCAAGTTGAGTAATCTGTGTGTACAATTAATCCATCTGTCGTAATCTGGGATTGTGGACTATCACGCAACAGCATTCAGAGCTTCACTACTAGGACCGTTCACGAGGTTGTGGTCCGAAGATATGGGCTATTGGCTATCGGGAGCAGTTTCTGGCCTAAGATTTTAACGTGTTTTGCTTTTGTCGCTCTAGTATAACTTACGCAAATGCCATAGCACAACCTTACCAACAATGAAAAAAGCAAGTGGATTAAAAAATATGCAACTTTGTGTAACGTATCTTTTGTTCTCATAGATTACTTCGCCTCTATGTTTGTGTCACGTAATGAATACCTTCGGTTTGGTTAGTTGTGCCGGACTAACCTCTATAGACGCCTCACAACTCATTGGTTGGGTTCAACAGACAATCCAACTGAGTAGCTTCAGATGACAGCAGACGTGTCTCAGAATCGAAATCAGTGGCAATCATGCAGCAGCTTCCTCGTTTCGTCTATTGCTAGAAAGTAAAACGGGAGTAGTGAATGTTTCGTTGAGATTACTTGAAAAACACTGACTTTTGCTTCCATTCTCTTTTCTGTCTCCGTAGTTTTGCAGAATTGTTTCGCATGACACATTTCTTGTCTTTGTTGTACCAAGATTTTGTTTTAATGATAAAAATAAGAATAACAGTTTATTAATTACAATGACTTAGCTTACTTGTATTGGATAGTCGTGTAGTGTGAGTGTATTTCTCGTAATTATTCTCCTGTTTTTTACTCGTTAAGTTCCTTGTGTACATGCAAGAACCAAGGAATAAGTAGTACTGGAGTAAATTCGTACTGGCCTTTCGAAATGTTTGGTTGAAAAGGCTCTACTAGTATGTCCTCGTTTCGAGAATCACTCACGTCATACAACCTCAAAAAACAACTAAAATCCACTCAGTAACCTTATGTACATTCGTACCGCAGGCAATTAGCCACGCCTGTTGCATAACAGCTAATGATACCACCTGGCCACCCAAACTTCAGTAGATGGAGCAATGTTATAACGCGCAACCTACTGATTGAAAGCCAACTTAAAACAATGAACCACAACTCCACAATACAAGATTGTTTATTATATTTACTGTATTTGTCAGCCGTACAGTCTGACTTCACGTTTTTAGTGTGTAAAAGTTACTTATTTTGTTGTCAGTCATATTAATTTATACATCGAAAGAATTTTTGTTGTTTATAGGGAACTTGAAGCTTCGTTCTACTTTTTGAGCTCATCTGTAACGGTCAATCCGAGAGTTACAGTTATTGTGGGAGATCTAGTTTCACTAAACTTCCGAGGATTTTAATATGACCCAAGGTTTAATTACAGCATTCAACGAGGAAATTGCAAGGTGCTTCACCTTTGAGGAATGCCTAAAAAATATTGGTGATCAAAGTAAATCTAAGGATGAATCTCAGACGTTTGACTCGTAAGTCTCATTCGGTTATTAGCCACTGATGCTTTTTTAGTGGACAGTATTTAGGTTCATTTCTAACTCATTATACATTTCCTTCAATACACTGGCTTGATACGTGTTTGTATGGGTTTGTTATGCAAGCTTTGGATATCAAAGAGCAGAAAGTGAGTTTCACAATATATTATCCTTCATTGTTTAGCATTCTGTTGACCATTATAATCTAGATATACCGGAGGATGAAGATATAAGCTATGCCTTCGACCATCATTCATTGGTAACATCTCAGTTGCCTGATTCATATGATGATATCGTTCAAACTGCTGACGAAGTTATCAAGGAAATTGACATTCTAATGGTAAGTTTGGAAGGGATTTTTCTAAACATTTGTAGAATAGTGAAGAAATCCCTTTACCATTGTGCAATATGGTTCAATCGGAATATGAACGTCCTCTTGTATCAGAAAATGTTGGAAGTAGTTGGTTGCGTGAAGAAGGTTTGATTTATGCTCTTTATGTCTGATAGTAATAGTACTTTTTGGTTCTGTGGTTGTAATAATATTGTGTTAACTTTAATAGTATCTAGTATTTGAAATCGTACTCAACTTCAGGTCGTCATTTAATATTATACATGTATTTCTGTGTTCATGTTTAGTTTAGATTACTCTTTATTTCACAGTTGCACAGTGTGGCAAAATATACTGTACTACTAACCAAATAATCAGCAAGTGTCGTTTAGAAAGGGTACGTTGAATAAGTTGGTTGGTTGTAACTATCTGTGAGTTGTTGTTGTTGTAAGTTCACTAATGCTTAAAATGCTTACTGCAGATGATATAGATGAAAGCTCCATTGACATTTTTTTTCCAGATTTTCATGCTTAATTAACTACTTCATTACGAAGCTTCACTTGTCGAGTCGAATTCTTAGGTTTATCTCAAGAACATTGATTATTTTGAAAGATGGTTGTATTCTCATGTCAGAATGTATAAATAATTCAACGAATGGTAGCGTGAATGAATTCATGCCATTTCAGGAATATGGTTGTAATATTCATCCACTTAGGTGAAACGGATACTGGGTAATCTGTTGCAGTTGAAACCCATTTCTTCAAATTTATTCTTTATCTTCCGTGTAAGGTAGGATGCAGTGCATAAAATGTGCCACTTCATTTTTCTCGCTCTTTTGAAGTTGACCTTACAGGATACAACTGGCAAACCATTGTTGCAGCCAGATAAAGCAATTTAGAATTTCACATTTAGGTAAGTTATCTCGAGTTACTTTACTTAGTAACATCAACAAATCACTTAAACCAGAAAAATGCGAAAGATAAATTGGATATCAACAAAAAATAGAACGAAAGACAAAAAGTAGTAAGATTCTCAACACTCAAGATATAAAGTAACGTTATCCATTCAACCATTGAGTTCTAATATATTATACACCATGGTTGAGAATTTTATTACCCCATCTCTTATCCTCAGTCAGAAGCCTCATCACCTTTTTTGATGTAGTTCCACTTTGGAAACATTGCACTTTGAGGTAGGTTTTGGATGACCGTTTTACAGCTAGACATGTCGGTGGAAATAGGTATAAAGGTTGTAAAGTGTTTTCTAAATTAGCACCTGAGAATCCTAAAGGTATTGACGGTTTGTAAGTGTAATTAAATTTGGTTAACATACCACCACTAAAATACGAATAAAACATTGCTGAAATTTACTTTGATTATGGTTTTCATTTCATGTTATTTCGGCTACTTCACCAGTTTGTTTTTGATAGTTGTTAAAAAATGAAGTTCTTGATTTCACCTCTCTTGTGGTTAGTGATTATAGAAGGTGTGTTATAATAGCAGTTTTTGGTTGCTTGTGAACGCTAACTGAATGTTGATGTCTCAATAAACCGAAATGATAATCTGTTGCTACGTGATACGCGCTCACAAGAGTAAAATTATTGATCATTCGCATGTAAGTTATAAATATCCCCGGCAGTAAAACTTTTAAACAAAACTGAATTATCACTGCATAATATCGTGCTGTATTACTTAGTCAAAAGCAAGTCGTCTAATTGGGTGGTATTTGGGACTACTTGGTTTCAAAGTAGTCGTTCATCATGAACTGACATATCAAGAGAACTATGGAAAACATTAAAGCACTACCAACTAATTTAATCAATGGGTATTTCGCGTTACATCTAACCTGATCGACCCCATAGGTTACGGTTTCGCATCAGAACTCCAGTAAATCTAAGCCAGAGCAAGTCACTAATGAGCAGTGGTTAGTAATTCAGTTGGTGTCTGCTGTGGATTGGTTGATTTCAAAGTAGTTGTTCACAATGAACCGACATCTATCGGAAAACCACTGCAAACTTTGGAGCACTGAGATGTTTTCTTCACATGTAAGACTCATCAGCACTATGCACCCATGTCTCCATAAAAGGATCGAGTTCTCAACCATCAGATCTCGTGGTGGTCGCCTTACTTTTAAGCCATCGGATTTGAATCTAATGACTCACATTTCTCTACTGTTAATTCGCAGTATAACGTGACTATCACTTCAGCCCCGTAGTTGCACTCTACTGTGGAGTGTCTAAAAATAGGATCGAATGGCTATCCAATGCTCTTAGCTTTTCAACCGTTCTTCAACTATCGTCAGTCCATGGTGACAAACTTTTTAAAAATACAAGTTATGTTGTAAAAGAGGAAGTCTGGTTGTACTGTTTGGTTTTACTTTGCCTATAAGGTGTTAGATTCAAGTACAGACTGTGAAAAGTATCAAGGCGAGATAGTTAATAACACTGCTTACATTCATATGTGTAGTGTATTCCTTGATGTCCTATTGCACTAGGTATTGTTGTGCTTTCTGTAAGTAGTAATACATAATGAACTACTCTTTAATTTAAAAAAATGATCGTGCGTCAATGATGGGGGACTGAAAATGTGTTTTACGTATCGTTTTTTATCAAGCCCTTCAGAATCTTTCGCCCAATGAGCTTAATGCAGTTTTGGAAGAGCTAGAATCATGTGTACGAGAATATTCTGCAATTCTTGTTCAGGAGTTGGCATATCGTGAGGAGCTGGATTTTGAACAAGAGCAGAAAGATATATTTATTGCACGCTTAAATGAGCTACATCGACGTCTTGAGCGTCGGCGCCGTTTAAGTATGCCACCTGGAAGTCACATTCAAATGCTTTCAAATTCTATAGCAATGGAAGACTATGGCGAAAAATATCGAACTATTGAGAAAAGTACGGGATCTGAAAGAATGGTACTGTCACCGAGCACTGTTCAAAAAGAAACCACACAGTTTATTTACGTATGTCATACTCTTTGTTAATTTTTGCGGTTTAATATGAGTTCCATATTGTCTTTATTGTCTCGTTTTAAATCACCACACTGAAACTGTGGTTCAATCACTTCTTTATTGCTCCCGTTTTTAATAAACACTTTTATAAATCTGAGTTATTAAGTATTTTTGAGCTAAAAATATTAGCGATTCCTAGGATGGTATTTTTGAATATAAAAGGAGTGTAATTCAGGATTTGATGTACCTATCTTATGTTTAGAACACAGTTTCCATCTAGCGAGATTTGCAGGATTCATGGGAATTCACGTTTACCGGTGTTTTCGTCTTACATTTAGCATAGTCACGTATTTCACAAAAACCAGGATGTTTAGGTTATTTTTGTCTAGTTTGCAAAATTTCTAAACTACAAATCTAATTCTTTATAACTGATATGTTGTTCTGTCAAATTAAAATACTCACCAATGGTAGTCACAATAACGATCACCAAGCGCTCAGTAAGTAGTCGTTATTTGCTATAGATTCTATTAGCTAAAAATATACACGAAGTCAATATGAATTACTTTGAACTTATCTATGAATTTATAAAAACTTGCACAAGATAATTCTCTAGGGTATATATCTTCATACAAACCGAATCGTTTACCAATTGGGTTTTAGCTCTGTTAATAGCAGAATAACGGACTTCTCATGTATATGCTACCTTCAAAAAATAATTGCAAATCTCTCTGGTCATTACACAAATAACAGAAAGTTGATTTTTAAAATTGCAATTCATTTCCCTTGTAGGACTTCTATTCTTAATAAAGCGTAAGTTATAACGGCAAGTTTTTTTGATCAACTTGTTTAAAGTATAGATTTAGACTGATTTGATGCTAAAGTATGTTTGCTATGATAGCTCATTCATAACCAGTCAATGCATATCTCGCCTACCAATAGGTGCACAGTCCGCAGCACAAGCAGCGGTTGCTGCGACATCATCTGCTACAGTGGCACTGAAGAGGCATTTTCAAAGACTGAGTACATTTTCAAGGGACAATTCAGCTACAACGGTATATCAAACAGACGCATGTAATCCCATCTGCACACCATCGAGATTGTCAGCTAATAATCACAATGGTAAAATCTCATCAGACAAAGATGAACAAACATCTGCCAGGGCTATTGCCATTTCTCGTTTACGAAAATGGGCTGGCAGAAAATCAGAAGAACCATCTGAATCAGGGCGTACCAGTAGTTTCAGGGCTTTTCTCCGTCGTGGACGTCAACAAGCAGAAACAACAACAAACGCTTTTATACGCAGTCGAGAAGCACGTTCAGCGGTGACTAGTCCGACCTCATCACACTGTGATTTCCCTTCAATACCTACCAATTTAACGCATTCTGCTTCTGGTCATTTGATTGGACGACCTGAAATAAGCTCGGATGATCTTGAATACAAGGTAACTTGTTATTTTCAGCGTTACTTTTTTGGTTCCCTTCTTAGTGTTCATATTTTAGTACTTCACGCATTCGAAAATATCTGACTTCTTGTCTACTCTCATATTATAAAATTTTTCTTACATTAGTGTTTTCCGCTGGATTACTGAAGTATTTAGTTTGAATGAAACCAGTTTCATAGGGTGTTCCTTTATTAAGACACTTGGTGACTTGGAAAAATCTTACTAACTACGCATAGACGAATTGATTCTCACTATAATCAAACGTAGCGAATCACTACCAGGGCAATGTATGAAGGCGTAGGTTACTTTACTGGCACTGTCGGGAGCCATGTCATCTGTGAAAATAGACCCCCATTAACATTTCTCAAGATCGATCGCAGAGCACAAATGCGTTACAAATTATCTCGGATATCGCTTTGTTTTATATCACAGCTTTTACGGTGGTATGCTGGTAAATCATGAATAATGGGACAACCCAGCGAAACATACTTGTTGAGACACTTGTTTCTTGAGCTGCTATTACACTAAGCCCAACTGGAAGATGGTAAGAATAAAAAGGGCTTACTTGGAGTTTCCCTATCGAAGTATTTTAAAATAATGTGGTTCGAGGGTGAAGTTATTTTGTTGGTCATCCGAAGTGTGACGACAGGCTGTTTCCTAAGGATTACTGAGATTTCAAGTTAATGTTACTTCACCTTTATCGGAAGGATAGATTACAAATGGTCTGCTCTGAAGATAGCATACTGACCCATGGCTGAAAAGTTGACAAATCCTTAGTGAGGCTTGTGATGAGATTTAACCGCCAACAAGCCCATCGAGATTTATGAAACTCCTTGAGTGAATGAGGGAGTCAACGTGCGCGGCAAACTCACTCTATTTCTAGACAAGATGCCAACTCAGATTAGTCTTTTCAGGAATAATTTGCTTCTGAGAGATGAGAATGAATTACTGACCTGCTTTTCTATGCAGCAGTCTCATGAACTACCTACATTCTCACATTCTTTTAACTGCTTTCTACTAATTATAATCACTGTTTTCTCCATTCTTTCGTTTTTCTTTGCCAACCCCCGCTCATGGTTATTACGCAAACCTTTTTTCGGTCTACTTTTCAGCTGCCACTATTGCGCTTGGAGCCTGCATGGTTTCGTTCACATGCATTTTCCAATTCAAATGAGACTGGCGAAATCCACTGACCTTTGAAAAAAACTTTTGGTGATTATCTAGGTTTCTTCTGGAGATTATGTCGAGCTTCTTTCGTATGAGTAAAGTTCACATAAGTTGTTTCGCTTCAAAGTATTCTTGGTATTCTCATCTTCGAAGCTGTTCTTAACTTGTTTGCTTTCGCCGGTTTAGGCATAGTTTTATCCTCGGTTACTTCCAAGCACCTGCACCAGAAAGAGTTGGGATTTGCACCTGACATTAATGAGTATCAGCATGATCCGTCTATCCCTACCTTTTTAAGTTATGATATGTGGCTACTAGGTCAGACAATGTCTATATTAGTGCCTGAAATCGGTACTGCCTCGGAATAATTGTTATTCTGATCAGTGGCGATTGGTTCCCTCGACTGATATTCTGAAGGTAGCACTTAATCGGATTTTTGTTTGACTTGACCTTCATTCTTCTGGAATTACTTTGCCCGCTAGACAGTTTTTGGTATAGTGTATCTTTCACATTACTAACCGTGGAAGCAGAAACTTTGAAGCTACAACTTTCGACATGTACTACCATGTGAGTCAGAGTGATCTTGCCGGGAAGCTCATCTTTTCAGCAGACCAGTAAAAATAAACTGTACATGGAAATGGAATGTACATTATATATTTTTACTCCATAAAAGCCGCTATTTTCGCGGCTTTTAGTGCATGAAGTACTGGAAAGAAACAGCTACTTCTTGTGTATACTTTGAGTACAACTACATATCCTGTTGAATAAACTACCTACACCCAGTGACTTACTTGGATGTGGCTAGCAGCAGAATGTAGGACGCGCGTTTCGTCCGCTTTGGGACTCATCAGCCGGATTTACCTGCACCCCAGTGCGGAGTGATGTTCCCACGGAGACTTGAACCTCGTGCCCATCTCTTCAAACGGAAAGACGTTATCCACTTTGCTACTGAGCCACGATAACCACCTCTTGTACAACCGGTATTACTTATTACTATTTGTTGATATGCTTGTAGTTCTCCGTTATTTTACTTTATTGAGTTGTTTGACCTCTGTTGGCATATGGGCTACTATGCGCATGCCTCGATATTGTTTAAATGTTTCTTATGAGGATTTACTTGTTTATGGCTAGCAGAGGAATCCGGGACGTGCAGAGGACTACCAGCATATCAACAACTAACAGTACGTAATACCCGTTGTACAAGAGGTGGTTATCGTGGCTCAGCGGTCAAGTGGATAACGTTTTTCCGTTTGAAGAGATGGGCACGAGGTTCAAGTCTCCGTGGGAACATCACTCCGCACTGGGGTGCAGGTAAATCCGGCTGATGAGTCCCAAAGCGGACTAAACGCGCGTCCTAGATTCCTCCGCTAGCCACAAACAAGTAAATTATCATAAGAAATATTTAAACAATATCGAGGCGTCCACACAGGAGCCCATAAACCAATAGAGGTCAAACGATCCGATCCAGTAAAACAATGGAGAACTACAAGCATATCAACAAGTAGCAATACGTACGACTGGGTTCACCTGATCAGTTCATTAGCAGGTGTGTAACCCATTACAATGACGTGTGCTTCTGTCTTTCTTAGTCCTTACTATGCTATTCAGCCTGACAGCACACGAAGAACTATCGACAGGCATCTGGATGACCAGTGCACCTTTTGCTCTAGGACTTAGGGGTATAAATACACCACCAAGACCGTGGGAATTAACCAAGGCATCCCCAGACATTCAGAAGGTAGATTTTGCGGATTCATCACTTCGTCTGAATGATGTCAAGCGAATAACCTAACTTGGATCCTGTTTAATTGCCACGGAAACTCAGCATCTGCATGTGTCGTGAAATGCCAAAGTTCTTCACAGTTCAGCAAAAGGTGTGAACATTAGAAGCTCTTGTGTGTAGTTTGAAAGTGATTTTAAGAAATCACGAATACTATTCTGTGAAGTCGAGTTGCAATCGTGAGCTGCAGAGCTGAAAGTAGTTAAAGATGATCAAGAACTAATAACTGAAAAATTTGAGTGGCAAAGAGGTGAAAGGTTGGTAGTGACCACAAACGATTGGAGTATTGACGAAGGTTTGGCGACAATCGATGTTGTTTAGTGGTTTAATCGTTTATCATTGGACCACTGGGTCACGGGTTTGGACGCCGCTCAGTCCACTTGAGGTTTAGCCCTCACAATAGGTGTGATTCGTTGCCTAGTGCACGAATCTCCTCATGATCGCCCCCACCCACAGAGCAGGGGTTACTTCTCAAGGTATTTTAAAGAAAAAAGAAGATTAGTACGAATGTTCTTATTGATCTGCCTGTGTGGCCGGAAAGTACAATGGACAGTTACTTGATTTCAGTTACCCATGGCCTTTTGAGAGGCTGATTTTATTCTTACTGGATTATATATATTGCATCCGTACTCATAGAAAAAACCTTTACAATCAACCCTAGAAGCTTATTGGGCAAGAGCAGAGTGTATTATTTTATAATTTGACCTACCCTAAACGTTGGTAATCAAGATAGAATTTGGGCATTGTGTTGGGACAATAAATAATTCTCAATATATCATGCAGTAAACAATACTGTTTCACTATGTACTGGGTCTAGCAAACGAACTAAGATAGGCGAATGGTTGTCCTTTAGAAAAATATTACTGCTATCATATCTACAGTCAGCTGTATAACTTCACCCGTGGATCCTCACCGTTGCGTAAATTATGTTCACTTCACTGGTAACCTTTTTTTCTGATATGGTGCGAACGATTGTTCCAGCAAGAATAACTCGTTGAGGTTTAGACATCGACAACAGCGTCAAAGAGGAATCTGTTGGCATCGATGATTGCTGTTTAGGTTTATGTGATAATGCAGTTAGTTGGAGGAAAATAGTGGAGTCAAAGGTTGATATCAAGCGATTGCAGAATTGGTGCTCAGGTTTTTGAAATAAAGTATTTGTGTTTAACCTCTCAATTCCTGTGGCTTTTGTGAATAGTACAGCATGAAATTGTACTGTTTTGTTGATTACTTTAAATATGTTGTTGGTTGCATTATCTCGTCGTTGATTGAAAAGAATTGATTGGTTTCTATTGGCATATGAGCTCCTGCACGGATGCATCGATATCGCCTGTCGTTTCAATCTTATAGTAATGACGGATAGGGGCTAGGAGTGGAATCCAGGATACGTTTTTCGTCCTTTTTGGGTCTCATCAGCTGGGTGTGGCTGCCCCCAAATTAGGATGAAACGCGTGTCCTGGACTCCACTGCTCTCCACTTCCCACCATCACTACCTTAAATATGTTTTTTGCTCCCAGCTCATATCCTGTACCCAACAGATAAGTTGTATGCATCCGAATTGGTCGTTTTTTGTAATTCTCTCAGAATTAAATGATTGGAAATGAACACAGAAAAGTGTGAAGTAGCTTATCTTTACACTATTTGAATGTGTCTGCTTTTGCATTTAGTTGTTAGCGTGGTGAATATAGTTAAAGGGGATGATTAACTCTGTTGTTGCGTTGAAATTGTAAACGCTTTTCTCAATTATTATTTAAAGAATTCAACTTCGTCAGCCTATTTGTAGTTGGTTAAATTCTGTTAGCGTATAACGTATTCCTTCTATTCTGTAAATCTAGTTTTTCTTGCTCCGTTGCAAAAAAGACTAACCGCAAAAATTTTATTTGTATTGTCCTGGTAAAATTTAGGTTGTCCATCGAAAAAAAACTAATGTTCACGGAGACTCAAAGGTATTCGCTACGTATTTCTTACAAAACGTCTCATAGTTAATTGGTTCGAACAATACATTTTCAATTTTCTTCAAACCTTCTTTGTATATACGTTTGATAAAATTGTTTTTTAATGTTGTCTATGTTTTACAGTTTAAATCTTCCAGAAACCTGGATATTTGATATTCTTTGTTTATGTTTAAATTTCTTTAGTATTTAACTACCTCAGTTCCCTATCATCGATCTCCCTACAAGGAAGGACCCACTGTTAGTCAGTTGGAGCTGTTCAACGACATGCTTTTGGCTATTCTTACGAATAACCCGAATCTCACACCTATGCTCACTGATTACATACTAAATGGTGAGATATCTTTGTTATATATACTGATAGATTTCTTTAATTCATGAAACATTTTTCAGACAATTTTTCTTCGCCACTGTTACATTATTTGTCGCAAATAGATGATTGTTTATCTCAGCAGCTGGTTTTTATTGGTTACAATACAATTATTTTTTTATATTATTTATTAAATTAATACAGTTTATTGCGACTCAACCTGGTACAGATGTATGCACTGGATTATTAGCCACACTTATTGTTTGATGGTTTATGATATACTACCCGATATAGTGATTATAAGGTGAAGCACAAATTCCCGCTATCAAAATAAATTTTGTTTACGGAGATGGATAGTCACTGGTTTGGCTAAACCTAACAAATAACCGTAATCATCTCTCTCATTTGCATGAGAGGCTGTGTTTAAAACTATTGCATAACCTGCATCAGGAATGTGTCTGCCTATGGCTGCACTACTTGGCAGTTTTACATCTTTTATTATTAGGTCCTTCGGTAAGTACTGGGGAATATTTTTGCTAAGAATCCTGTCCACTTTTCTGGATTATATGTTACTACTGCAGGTGATCGTATTTGGTCTGATGCGCAAATCTGCATACCCACAAATTTCTTTGTTCTTACTGTATTTGAAGTAAACAAAGTGCGGTGATCGCAAGCTGTATTCAACTGTTGTTTTATGCTTTCCATCCATAATGGACCGGAGCTAGTTTTGAAAAATGTGATATTCACCCTATTCCATATCCTGTTGCTTCGCTAGTGAAACAATATTTGTTCCATTTCAATGGAAATACTTGAGTATTTTATTAAGATTGAAATTATATTGCTTTCATTCATCAATTCTGCAGCGTATTAAGTCATTGTGCCGGAGAAATCAAGCATTTCTCAGTCGCGGTTGGATTTTCATGCAGTAACTTTTAATCAGTTTGATTTTCAAACATTTTTTAAAAGTAATACACATTAACTAAAGTCTTTAAATAATTACCAGTCGTTCATTGCTTAGTAGTTTAATGAAATTGTCGTTACTACAAAAAGTAAACATCTAAGTTTTCGATCAGCGAAGGGGTCATTACTAATAAATCTAAACTTTGAAGGAAAAAAATACTCAGCTTTCTTTGGGGTTAAATGATTCTCAAAGTAGATGATTGCTTTTATTTAGCACTTAAACTGTAATGTATTTTTCTTTGCTTTTTAATTTGTTTAGTTTATGCTCCAGCAGATCGTCGGTTATCCAAACTTCCAATATAGACAATCAAAACCTATCCCCCTCTGAATTTATCGACGCAAAGCATCTGGTCATTTTCTTGTTAGTTTGATCCATATTTTTGCAATTATTTTGTTTTTCTTTCAGAATGTTTCTGTTTCATACACACACATATTATATGACTTAAATTTCGTTTGATGTTTGATTTGCTTTCCTTAATCCCTAACTTTTCACCTAATTGACCTCTTTTCGATCGCATCATCTCTTTTTTTAATTTAATTTCCGCCTGGGAACTATTTGTTCATTTACTTTGCTTATTATTTTCACATTCAATCAAAGTATAAATAATGATGATAATTTAGGCGATTGTTAACATTAATCACATTTATAATTATTTATTTCAAAGTAATTTTCATCTATGTTGTCCTAAACATCACTGATTACCTTAATATTGTGTATAATCTACACTTGGTAAGATAACAAAATGTGGTTACAATTGCTGCTTGTTACCTTTCTTGATGAATGCAAACGTATACGCATACGTATCTCGACGATATGTTTGAATGAAATATATCCAATGAATTTAAATTTCATGATTGTTGTACACATTTTTTTTTGGCATTTCTTTTCTTGCTTGAGTCTCATCTATTGCTTAAATTTTTATGCTGATTTTTCGCTTTTAATACTTTTTTCTCTCGATATTTATCGATTTCTTTTGTTTATTTTGTTTCATTGACATTGACTGAATTGAACTGCATATTATTGACTCGCTTCTCTATTATTTGCATTTAGATTTTGCGAATTTATATTCGGTTATTTATTTGATTATTTTGAAAGATGTCTACATCAAGAAAGTGCATTAATCCTTATGTTTTAAATGGTTGCTTTCATTATAGAAAAATCTAGCATATGACTTTAAGTAATTTAGTTTTTTAAAAGATTTTTCCAACTTATTAGACGCCAGTAAAATGTGACGATGGGTGTAAACTGTTCCAACTCATAAGAAATAGTAATAATTTATGAGAGTTAGAAGTGGAAGCATCTCCACTAACGTGACATTATAGCTGCTGTTTATTTTTTATCGAAGAGAAAAGTTTAGTAGCATGTTGTAAAAAAAAGGTCATACTCCTTATTTGCGTAAATAATCTGCGAATTAGTAAACACAGTACTGAAGATGATTGTGGTTGACTTCCGAAAACCCTTCTCCTGGTCAAAATTATAATCTAAGGTTTATATTAAAAAAAGTAATCTGTTGGCGCTTTTTAGAATATAATTAAACAGTTAGTGATAAAAATGATTTAATCAGCGAAGATTTATTTCAACTAAAAGTTGGAGATTGTACAACTGATGGATCTTTTTATATCAAGGGGATAGGTTGGTGGTCCTGAACTCCCAAGGAGTTATTAACGGTTCAATTGAATAGGAGGTAACGCAAAGTCTTTGTTAAAATATTCAAGGTAGGTATTATTGAAATCCTTTCATTGTATGATACCTGAAAAGTGTCGATAGAAGTATTTATTACAGGGGCAACTGACGGTGTTAGTGAATGTACTGCAATATTTACCATCACCATATTTTAAAACTGCACTATCATATCGTTCCACTTGCGTTAGTCTTGTATTATCATCTCATTCTATCTTAAGCCCTCTGAACTTTCAAACCATCTGACCCAGTGACTTGCACATCTCATCAGCATGTTCAGAATGATCTAAATATCAGGTAGCTATTTTGTTCGTCTAGTCGATTGGTGGTGTACTGAATAAAAGCTGACAGCTAGAGTGTTCAAAGCGACTGAATCCGGCTATTCGACCTGTTAGTGGATGCTTACACAAAATGCACAGTTTGCGCTCAGTGTTTTTGTTCAGTTGCATGTTTAGGTTACAACGGAGATATTTTGATAGCCATTAGAATTTCAGTGTTTTATATATATTCATGAATATTTAAAGTGGAGTTGATTTGGAGATAAAATCCAGTACTGGACAAGACTGGAATCGATAGTGTACATGTTAGCGCATCACCACTCTAATGGCTGTTTCACATACTTAACTGCTAACCAGATATTTATTCCTTTTTATACGGTGAATACTCTATTAAAATTGCATATTATTGAGACATACAAAGTTTACCCTTCTTCACAGATGCTTACTGACTATGTCATTTGATATTAATTGAGTATGAAAGAAGTGACTGATTGGTTGCTGGTCAGACTTTCTGAAATCTAACTTTGTAAACGATAATTATTAGCAAATCATTCTATCGAAGAATAAAATCGTTTAGAGGAAGATGATACTGATAGCGTACACGGAATCTGTGCCTGCAGCCTCATTCTATATATTCTGTCCTTTGAGTTCCTGGTGGGACGTAGAGCGTCAGTAGCACGTCGCCATTTCACTCTCTTCTCTGCAGTCTTCTTAACCTGGCTGCAAGACTCCCCAGAAGCTCCCACTTCTCACACCATCTCCATGTCACCCTTGGACGCCCAACTCGTCGTTTCCCCTTTATGTTCCACTCAAGGGCCTGGCACGTGATGTCCCTAAGTGGTCTCCTCAGTGTATGCGCGATCCAGCCCCACTTTCTTCTGCATATTTGTTGGGGGATGGGTTTCTGGTTGGTTCGTTGCCAGGCCAAAGTTCCTTGTTGCTTATTCTTTCTGGCCATCTGTTCTTCAGCATCGAGCGTAGGCGGCAGCTATTCATGTATGTCTGCAGTTTGTTGGAAATGTTTGTAACGCGCAAAAGTCTCTGGACTATATAAAAGTACTGACTTGACGTTGGTGTTGAAAATCCGGATCTTGTTCTTTGTGCTGAGTCGAGTGGAGTAGATCATACTGATTTCATGTTAATGAAGGCCTGTCCGATCCCGACGTGGACGTCCTCATCTGTGCCGCCGCCTGTACTTGGAACTATGCTGCCTAGGTAGGTGAAAGAGGCAACTTTATTCAGATTTATAGTATTATTTACTTGATGACGTTTCGAGCATAAACTATTGCTCAAAAGCATATCAATGGGATATAACATTGATTATGAGCAATAATTTATGCTCGAAACGTCATCAAGCAAATAATACTATATCACTGTTATAAATCAAATAAAAAATGTAACACGGAATTAAAATCTACAGCAGTACCCAAGTTTAACGCCCATAATAGTGAAAGAAACTCAGTTACCGAAGAGGAGAAACAAAGAAAATGATGGGCTGACAACTTCAAAAAACTCTTGAATAGACCACGACTGCTGCAACTCGTCCAGAAATACAACCAGCAGCCTAGCCACAGAACTTCCTTGACTGATAGCTGCTACCTTGACGTGGTGATTGGGCTTTCATTTCACAATGACTCAACGAGCTATGCTGGTGGGACACTTATTCCCTCGAGGTCCTACCATACCAGAAAGGTCTGTTGGATAGTGGTTAGACAAAAAGCAGTTACCGTTATAGTGTAAATTACTACACTGTGATGGGGGGGGGGTTATAAATCAAACAAATCTAGTATGGAATTTCCTACGCTATCCTTCATTGGTTTCATCTGTGTTCATCTCCTCCCAGATAGTAACCTGGTTGTTTGATATAATGTTGTCAAGTCTCTTCTACCTGCAGCCTGTTCTGCTTCACTTGCCAGTGTGTCGTAGAAGTGTCTTTTGTCTTTCCGTGCACTCTTCACTTATTTGGCCAGTATTCTATAGGTTTTACTCAGTTCCTCTTTTCGTTGTTCATCCCTGCACTGCACCGGTTAACATTCTACTTCACCATATTCCTCTCCTCTATTAGATTCCATGTGTCCGTCGAGATCCATTCCTTGTCTTATTTCCTCTTCCTTCCTAATACGGTTATGCAGGTTTCCTTCCACATCTCTTTCAAAGAGTTCCATTGTTCTTCCACCCAGGTTTCCTTAGATATGTTGCTTAATATCTCCTATCTTTTCTTGATCTCTGGTGTGAAGACATCCCTTCAGTTTCCGCTCTGGGTGTTGAACCATGGTCTATCACCAGTTTTCTTGAATTGAAGGCTTCCAACTTGAATTCGAAGGTTCCTTGCACTAGATAGTGAGTGGTGTGAACCTACATCTGTTCCCCTTCTTGATCTTGTGCCCAGTAGGCTGGCTTTGTCTCCACTTTCTTGAGATTGAGATGAAGTCGATCTGATTTTTAGTGTAGTGTGTCCAGATGTCTGGTGTAATCCATGTCACACTGTCTCCAATCGGCAAGTCATTGAATGCTCAGAAGTCTGCAAACAGTTCTCCATTCTCATTCATCATTTCATGGAGTACCTCTCGACCCATGATGAGTTTTCTTCCTGTGTTATGTGCTCCAAGCAGTTAGGCATTCATGTCACTCCACTCATTGAAATTTTGATGTTGCCATCTGGGGTGGGGTTTAGTCGATTAGTGATTGCAGTTGTCTGTAGAATTCCTCCCTGTTCTATTGATCTGCATTATTTGTAGGTGCGTAGAGTAGCATAGTATGATTGTAACTCTCCTTTGTTTTGATTTGAATCTTGCTGTCATGATCTTGATCCTGGAGGAGATTGGTTCCCACTGCATGAGAGGCTTTGATGGTGTTGGGGACATGATGATAGTCACTTGAAAAGTCAGTGTGCTCGTGGTTGTCGTCTGGGTGAGAATATCGGAGTAGATTATTGACTCCTCTTCAGTTGACAGTTTGGAGATTCCATTCCATCTGCTTTCTCAGATTCCAAGCACTTCTATGATATATCTTCTGACTTATTTTGCAATCTGGGCAGCCTTGGTAGGTTCAAACATTGTGCGAACATTCATTGTCCCTATGTTTAATTTTGCTTTCATCGAGAGAAGAGGAGACACATCGGCCGGCTGGCTTCCCGAATGCTTTCACCAACCGGCGTCATTTCATCTCTTCGATTCCAGCGAAGAATAAGTTTGTTATTTATATTTTGTTTGTGCTTTGAAGTTTCGTTAGCGATTGAATTGGTTTTCCGGGGTAGGGTTGCTAGCCCTACGCCCAACCTTTCCTCTTTTTATGCGGGTTTAGGACCGTCTAGTAACCTAGGTGAGGTTGTAAATTTATATATATCAGTAAAATTCATCAGTAAAATTTTACTTAAAAGCTACCTTAACATACCATGAAAAGCTCTTCAGGTTATGCTATGTGATAATAACGTTTCGTAAATAATAATTTCAGAGTATTTAGTTTTGAATAGATAATACTAATTATCTTAACTCAGTATCATGAGTGGATCATTCGGTATTATTTGTTCAAATACGATTTAAGAAACAATCGATCTAAGATGCTAAACTTTAATTAATGTTCCGTATGGTATGATATGGTTGTTCTTAAGAATGTCAAAATTATTTTAGCATATCTTCATTTTACTCATAAATTCCGGTTTAACAAAGCCTTCTTTCTTATTGTCTACCTGAAAAATGATAATGTATGCCGGTTAATCCGAAAAATTGAAATTTTCAATATTAGTCGTTACATTCTGTAAGTTGAGTATTTATTTTTATGCAGAAACTCCGCATGTTATAATGGTAACAAGAAAATTTACAAAATGTGCTAAATGGTTTTGGTAGCCTAGTTTGGTAAACAGTGTATCCTACTAGTGAACAGGGTTGAAAGTCTCTAAAAGATACTAATTCAATGAAATTCCCCCTTTTGATATGTAGTCCCGGTAAAAGTGACAGTCTGTTGTTAAATAATAAGTTAATATAGCGTTAATAATACGATAGAAGGGAGCAGAATACAAATTACTGCAGATACAAAACACAATACGATGAAAAAAATGTGATAATCAATTAAATTAGACACTGACTCCCTGAAATAGAATTAAACTATCACTAAGAGTGAGTGGACTACTGGTGAATCGCAGAAGGATTGTTGATTACTGATGAAATATTATAACCTTTCATTGAAATATAAATTTGTACAATATGTTTCAGTTCATCTCCTTCTATCTCCTCTTACTTTTGATACGGCCACTTCATCGTTTGCACTTCTCTGGGTGGGATATTTAGCCATTGTTCGTAATTGCCTATGATTTCTTTCGGCTTCTGAACATATGCCATATATATGGATTCTTATCAATAGCACCCACTACAATGGAGCTGTCGAAAGATGAATTTCTGAATCCTTGAAAGTAAATGGGAACAGCTTCAAAGAGAGGATCAGATGATATTAATCTCAAACTGCAGATACCTACTCACATTTTCTCAAAGCATTCGAAAAGGTGCATTCAACTATTCTTGTATATTCAAATGCAAACGCTTCACATGGGTTCGAAATTCTGAATTTTCTTTCTATTAAATATATGTTCTTACAAAACAGGACGTCTGTTATGTTCTATCAGTCATCTATAGGTAAAAATGTTCATTATGTTTCTATCTTTGATATATGAGAAAAATAGTCTCGTAAATTAAATACAGGAGATGAAGTGTGCTAATTCGTTCTACAATGTGTCCAAAGAAAAAAATTCGAGACTTAACTCGTAATCTATGCAAAACGCTTGAAGACTACACCAAGAGTGACTTCACTGAACGACTTACATTTCCCTAACCGTAATCAGTACATAAACGAGCACTATAAACTCATTATGCACTAAGTACGTTTTCATCAACCATTATTTCATTGTCAATTCATCTCTAATACACTTCATTTACTTCAATAACATTATTTTCGCATTCAGTTCTTTGGTGTGTGCTACTGTGAAGTTTGACAACGTGAACTGACGTGCTTCTGTCCGGGATTTTACTTCGATTTGTCCGTCTTTTTGTCTCTGCACTATTGATATGAGCATTGTCTCTCTTCTGAATAGATTTCAAAGTTGTCTTGGAAATCCTTCATTGTAAATATATGGGCTCAGTATACAACGAACACAGTGTTTGCTTGGTTAGTTGCGTCTGACCCACAGCAGGAGATTAAAAGATATCATACTTGGCCTACGGTAATCAGAACCAAGTCTTTATCTACGGAAAACTGGATGTAAACCGCAACAATATCCTTAGATAAATGTTTTCGGATCGTCACAAATAACTTCAGTACTAGTGGTAATAACAACAGTTGTAACGATAGTAATAATCGATATTAATAGTAATCATCATAATAATAATAACAGTAATTTACAAAAGCTTGAAATAAACAAGTTCATAAACTAGTTCGTTGATTAAATCATATAAGAGGAGAGGAGAAAAAAAGTAGGAAACAAAGGAAAATGTGCGAAAGAAAATAAGCAGACATACGTACATAAGGAAGCCAAGTAAACTGACAATAGAGGAATGCATAATATGGATAGATGTATGTATATAAGTTGACAAAATTGAATAAGTATTGAGTATAATCATTTGATACTATTTCATTTCTTGTTACCAAAAGTGAAAAAAAAACACCATCAAGCTGGTTTAATCAAACGACTAGGAAGCGATTGTCCTCCTAATTGTAACAATAGTAACTTGAATATCGAGATAGTTGTGTTATCAGAGAGAAGTAGAGTGTAGTTACTGCATGCATGTAGCGTGTAATTCAACGAATAAAAGGGCATTGAGAATTTATGCTTCGAAATAACTCAAGTACTCATACATTAGTGGTAGTTAGTAACTAGCAGTATTTTTAACTGAGCATATAATTCCAAGAAAACGCTAAAGGGAAGAATAGCAATAACAATGGAAGAAAACATACATCTAGTAGGTATTGTTTTAAGCAGACAGAAGAGAATGTGTGTGTGTGTATGCGGAGGGTTGCGTACTTATGTATTTGTTTTCACCCAAATGAAGTGTTGATTTATAGGTAAGTATTCAGTGGTGAAATCAACTAGTTGATAAATAAACTAGATCAGATTGGGAAAAAGAAATTCAAGTAAGTAACAAGATGTTTAGAATTCAGTGTTGTTCCTCATATTTACGTCGTGCCAAACAATAAAAAGTGTAAAAATTACAAAGGAAAAGGGAGACAAAACAGAGTTCTTGAAAAGTAGGATGGACACAATAGAAATATTAATAATAATAACCTAGATAGAAGACATAACAAACAACCTAGTGTATATGGATGTGATAGGCGATTCGAATCAGAAATAAATAATAAAAAATAGTTTACACAGAAGCCAGAGGTTTTAGAGGATTTTACTCATGAAGAAAAAAGGAAACAAAATGATGAGGAAAAAATAAATGCAATCAAAATGTGATTGTATTTGTTTTATTTTGCTGTTTTTCGTCTTTTCCTTTAAAGTTCCTCCCGTTATTCATCTCATGTGTAACTTGTTGTGTGTACATAGATAAGAGTTAATAGTAGAAGCAAACTTAACGAAAAGAGATACATAGGTGGAAAGATCAACAAACGTTTAGAATTCCGCTGATACATACATTACACATGATCCAATAAGTAATTATAAAGAGTAGATGAGGAAATATTCGCATACACACACACATAGTCATATATACTTACAAACACAACCAGAGTACATAACAAATGAGGAAAAACATCTACGTTTATATCATCAAACAAGTTGACGGTAACAATGGTAATGAGAGGAAGGATAAATACAAAATGAAAAGAAGGAAGAAAATATACGTATATATGAGCAATTGGAAAAAATATTATTTCCAAGTGAATATAATTTGGCAACTTTATTATTTGGTTGATATTTCCTTTAATTAGTGATGAACTATAGATATTCCATGTTGTTTCAGGCAAACATACTTTACTTCGCACCTGTGGTTGTATGTGTGCGTGCATGGCAATGTTCACTTGTTTAACCAGTCTGCATGTATAACATACAATTCAATCATGCCAACGTAACAGAAAAAAAAATAACGAAGTATACAAAAAAGAAATATCTTCAGTTTAACAAATGAAACAAGTAGAAGGGAAAGAAGAAAGCCCAAAAATAATTCAACATCGATTGTTACGATGACCATCGGTAATGAAATGAGAGACTTAAAATGATGACTGTAGAGGCAAGACTGAATTGAAAGAGAAGCAATGAAATAAAAACAAATCAACGTTTAAGAAGAAAATGCACTCAATTTCAACATCACTGAGTTTACTGGTGATAATATAAATGGAGTAAAAAGCGTAGAGAAAACTTAATGAAATGGTAATAGTTAGTTCAGAGTAAATACAAATTATGTAATAGTTTAAACATGGAAAGATACAAACACACCAGTCTTGAGAATTTTGAGGAGGAAATGGAATGTATGTGTTCAAATAACTTTGAATACAGTACACATGAATTAAATGAAACTCACAGGACAGAAAAATTAGAATGCAGGTGATATGAACACACCGATATTTAGTTATCTTTTTGGTAGTAAATCACCTGGGCTATCTCAGTAGTAGTTAACTGGCTGAATAAATATGAAGCAATCATAATAGCGTTGATAATACAAGTGGTAACAACCATATCTTATCTTTCTTTTGACTGTTGTTTACAATCCAGGCACCATACCGACAATTGTACCGACAATAATACAGATTAGGATTGCCACACAAATGCCAATGATGATCATTTTCTAAAAAAGGAAAGTAAAAAAAAGGTATAAATTTAGTGGAACTGAGCATGTTTATTTTTTACCAAAAATTAAATGTTGCATAGAAATGACAGAATAGAAAAATCATTAATAATTACCTCTGCTTAATTTTTACAATCAGTTGACAACTTTAAACTTACCAAAATTCATTAGTAGTGTATAACTAATGTGTTAAGAACCTACTGTTTGTACAACAATTATCGTTCATGTAGGTCACCATAGAAATCATCGACATCATCAGTGAAATACATACCACTGCCTTGATTTGAAATACTTTTGAAACTATTTTATAACTCAAGGTATTAAAGTGACTTCAGATAGCGATCAGAACGTGACAGCTATAAATATTATCACAGCAGAATTTAACGTTATTGAGTACTCAAGAAGACAATATTTTCTGTTACAGTAACATAAATCATAATGGGGAATAAAACAAAAAGAATGATAGTTTAAACAATAGTCAAGATTTTAGGCTTGGAATAAGTAAATGAGATTATTTGAAAGATAAAAATCAAAAATTTAAACTCAAATACATTTGATCTACTGTTACTTAAACCAAACATGCAGAATGAATCACATTTTAATCTCATTTAAATGATAGCTTTATTCAAATATTCGTTTAAAATGTATTCAATAGTACAATGAAGACTGAACTCGGAAAGAAAAATGTTATCATCAATAAATATTTCAACAAATGGAAAGAAGATTGAGTTTATTTTCCTTTCATTACTATATTGACAGTTAGTTAACCTCAAACGAAGTTACAATTCAGCCTTAAGTAGTAATGCGGCACCAATATATATGGCATGTTAACATGATATCTAATGAAGATTTGACTATACGCCTCAGACCAATATATTAGGTAAAGTGGACCACAATTAGTATAACTTTTCAGATATGTGACTAAAATGTTCCAGTTTCCCATAAATTGGTGTAAAACACAGAAATTTTATTTTCATTGGATGTTCTTAGGGTAGTGGATGTCGTTGGCTAGAGTTAACTTCCGATTTCGAGAATCTAACAGCCTTTAGACAAAGTTTAATGTCGAAGTTGAAAAAAGATGCAGTTTTATGCAAAATGTTTATTGTATATAAAGTGTGTGACTGACATGATAAAAGGGCCATAAACGGCATTACGAAAGATATGTCCTTTGAGCGATAACTATTGCTAATATTTTCTGGTGATTAGACTCAAGAAATCAACGAACGCACCATCCTACCATACATAAAGGATATATCAGAAATCACGACAAGATTACTGAGACCACTTGGAATTGGTGTGGCTTATAAACCTACAAATTCTCTCCAAACACTATCATGCAGACCAAAGGATGCAACAATCGAAGAAGACAAAGAGAACATCATTTATAAAATCAACTGCAATAACTGTAGTCAATACTACATTAAACAGAGTGGTCCCCCTTTTCGCTTTCGTTGACATGAACATCAATTGGCTATTAAACGTCACGACATTTCATCACTCATTTCAATGCACATGGATAATTATGGATGTAAATTCAACTTTGACAACGTAGAAATCTTAGAGGGAGAGAGGAAACACAAATAATATCAGAAGGAACCTAGAAGCTAGGCATTCAGGTTAGTCAGTCAGCTATCAATAGATGTACAGACATAGACCCAATCTATCAACTAATGAGGAAAGTGATAAACGACAAAAAGGTCAGAAGTAAAGCAGAGGAACAACTAACAGGAAAATCTATACGGTCAATGACACAACAATCGAAGGAAACAACCAATCACAGACCGCTTCGTCAAGGCAAGCTACTAAATCACTCACGGAGAGATATTGACAGTTCACTTCATACTGAAGTTAGTGCTGATGACGAAAGCTTCACGAATAAACAACCCAGCTCAGAGAACATAATGCAACCAAGACCATCTACCTGTGCAACAAATATTCTCCACCGTTTCAGACTCCAGTAACTCTCATTTAGTCAGGAAATATAGTAAAAGAATCCCATTATACTGGGCCCCGATTGCACAATCAGCTATTTAATGCTGAAAAAGAAAACGCTATGACAGTGAAATACGTGGAAAAAAAACATTTAACTATTACACAAGTTCAGAAATTATATGAATTTTAGGGTGAAAATTATAGAAGTGAAAATGGTGCATATTTAAAACAAACATGCAACAAATCTTGTCATATGCCAAGTGACATATTTCATTGGAATAATAAGATATCAATAAAAAGAGCTTTTATAACTCGCTACATTAGTGACCATAGTTTTTACAAGTTTGAAATGCGTTTATAATGACTTAAAGGTAAGGAAATTGTCTTGTTACACACGAGATACAACTTAAATGTCATAAAAAACATTCGACCAATCTCTAGTGCTCAAAAAGGCAAGAGAACAAACCAATCCAGTTATTGGAAATAATGAATTTTAAAACGTGCTCTGATCGGATGATTCAAGGTGCATACTAGACAAAAGTTAACGATATTCACTGCTGAAAAGCAGCAGCAGAGATGCGTAGAATGTCACCGAATCAATTAACTTGCATATATATACTAATTTGCAATACTTCTGAAAGTCGCTTCTTTACTTGTCATCTGCATGAATTAATTTCTGTTCTGTGTTTTAGAAAGAAGAAAAAGTAAACTTAACCCTTAAATACAACTAAATACCTTTGATGATTAGCATACAAAAAAAAGACTTTGAGCAATAAATTAAATTTCAGAAGTTCATAGCCTTTAAAGAAAAAGAAAATTTTGGCACAGACAAAAATTTATCAGTCAGGCAAATATGTAGTTGATCATATTTGTGATTTCATGTCATTTTTGTCCTGATTTTTAACATATCTATCAGTAACAGAGGAAACGATATAAAAAAAGTGGTTTAGTGTCATTTATGTACCACATGGAACTTTTTAAAAGCCTCAGAGTTATTCAGTAGACAAAATTGGCAGTTAGAAGTAGATAGGAATAAAAGAGCCTATCAAGTAAATTGACTCTAGACCATTTAGTGAAACCAGTGGTCAGTTGTTTCATTCATCCAATTCTAGCTTATATAGAAGGAAATGGGACGAAATACTGAATATCTAGTCTGATGGGAGACGCAAAAGTGATGTTTATCACTCATCGATACAACGCTCAAGGTATTCGATGACTGAAGTAAATCCGAGACCTTCTTTGGTATCAAACTCTCTTGAGGTCAACTGGTGAAGCAAGGAACTGATATTTCTGCCGACTTAAATATCTTTGAAACTCACCTTTTCATATAGCCCTGCTTATCGTCAGACATATATACAATCATTTTAGTTGGCAGATTGTCCACTGAGTTGTCTTATCGAAACAAAAGTTCATAGTGACTGAGAATCTTCATCATTGCTCGGAATGGTCAGCAGTGTGTATGCGACATAGCTATCTACTTCTTAGTGTTCAACAGCGACCGAAGTTTATCGAAAAGATTTGAAATGTCACCATAGCACTAAGTGATAAGACACTGTATTTTGATATTAGATGTTGAGAGACAGCCAGTAGAAATCCCTGGATCTACGTTTGATGCTTCTTGTGACCCACACAGCTTACTACTAAAGTCTCTGATTTCAGTGCTGAGTGAAACAGGTTTGAATCTCCAGAGAAGCATCAGTTTCCATACGGTTGCAGACACGCCTTGTTGGTGAATGCCAAACAAGGGCAAAATCTAGGTCCAAGGCTTTCTGCTGGTTGACTGAAAACATTTAGGGCCAAAAGGGCTACGCATTATCAAATGACATCCATTACATAAAACTGAAGAACCCTTAAGGCTTATAATTATGGAGTTTCATTGTGCATTTTTTCGTACACAAAAAAGTCTCATATAATATTTATTTACAAAACTCAAATAAAATTAAAAAGCCTAGCAGATATAGTTGATCCTCACGCTATATATCCAACGGTCATTAGAAGCTAGGACATGGAATTCAACTAGACTAGATTAGAGTTTAGAAAAGTTTACCATTTCTATGCGCATCTCATGTTGACTAAAGAATTTGTATGAAGGCGAGATATCCAACAATCTATCAAATGATATGTTTACTATGCTGCAGTCTGTTCAGTCCTGTTGTACGGCTGTGAGATAGAGCCCTTAAAAGTAGAAGGCACGAAACGATTACAGGACTTTGATCACAGATGTCTTCTTAGTATTGCTCGCCTTTGGTGGAATAACTATGTGGGCAATTTTGAGGTCAGGTGAACGGTACTTACTAGGCAGGATAAGCAAGTCGATTGATGTTCTGAATATTAGTTGACTGACATGGATTGGACAGGTAATGCGCATGCCGAGCCATCGCCTTACTCAACGTGCCATGTTAGGGGAAGTTGGATTAAGTTGAAAGAACGTTCAGGGTAGCCAGACTGAGATATGGCACCAGTTGACGAAGTCCCTGACTGCTAGTCTTAGTCGTCTTGGGAGATGTGGACTACCCGAGACTATACGAATCACTGGTTGAGGACTCTTGGTGACATGGCTGAGAACCGGTCACATTCACTCCTTGATCTCTTCTAAAGCCGGAATACCCGCATTAACCGTTTTCTTCAGACTGTTTATTCCCTCACACAACTTTGCCTACTCTGATATTATTCTTTTTCTATCTACCTTTTGTATAGTGCTGTGAAGTGTGGCAATTTGAGCCAATGAAGATGGGCACGACGTTGATTTTGTCAGCCAATGAGTAAGGACTCTAGCAGTTTCCGCTAAATGAGATTTTTATTGTTACTGTATCAACAATATCCAATGTAGATTAACTTAAACACATTTCTTCCTAATGAAGGGAAGCATTTTATAGACTAAGGCTTTTATTCCTTATTCAAAGTAGTATCATAAAATCGCCACACATTCATTCAAGTACGGATTTTATTTATAACTTACAGCTTTATGAATTGCTACATCAGAGTACAAACTAACAAGTTCATTCATTACTTTTTTACAACACTTAGAGGCGAAACGAAAATGGTGTTTGGGGAAAATTCGCCATCTA